AGCAGCAGCAGCAGCAGCAGCAAAGCAGCAGCGCAGCAGCAACATAGAAACAGCAGCAGCAGCAGCAGTGGCAAAGAAGCAGCAACAGCGGCAACGTTGGGAACTGAGAAAGGTCAGGGGGAAGGGGGAGTTTCGCCCGCGGAGGGGGGAGGGGGTGTATATCCCTGATATGATGGGACAGACTCCAGCTAGCTGCTACAGCTAGCTTTGGTGACACGTGTTCGACCAGAAAGAATCTTTTTGCGTTCGCACACCTTGGATTGGATAGAGAGGGGCTGCCACGAATGTACACTGGACTGAAACCAACGAACATGCCAGCGTTGCATCTGTGAAACCGATCCGGGGTTCGCTGGATCGACATACCCTGGACCTGTCCGTTCCGCAGACTTGTGCCCATCGCTCGACCTTTGCACGTGATTGGATTCGGAGCCTTCAAGCTTTCTTTGGAAAGTCCCTCAGCTTGTGGAATTCCATGGTCATCTAAAGTATGTGTGGGCGTGCGCAACACTTGGAATCATAGTTAGCCTGTGGCCTGAAGCAATGATTGGATGGTTCCTTGGTGATAGTGGGGCTGATCATCCGTGTACCTCCTGCTTCTCACTTGAACACGACATCTTCCTTGGCTTCGGTTTGCAGAAAAGCGCTAATGGGTGGGTGCGGCAGACTTTTCATCTTCGCGAGATGGAACTTTGAAGCTTGACTAACATATTATATATATAAATGGTTTGGTTTTAGGATTTGGTCCGCCTTGCATACTACTTGGTTTGCTCAGGCTCATTTTTTCGCTTGCCTTTGGGCGATGGCGAAACCAAGTCGTTTGTTCCGTTTGTTCTTGAACCCGAGCGTGTCTCTCAATCTTTGAAGGCCCGAGTAGCGCCCTTTTGAAAGAAACAACATCAGCTTTGTAGCAGCACATCAAACGTCAATACCACCCACACCTTCTAACACCCCGGCCTTCTCTCAGCCATGGGCCGACTACACTTTCACAGGTCTTCCAGACTAGAATAGTTAACATTGCAGAAAATTGGAAAATCCTACATGTCATCTTCGATTCCACCTCGAGATCATCGATGTTGGGTGCCTTCACAGGGTCTACCTTACGGACGTGTTGCGCAATCCCTCCAATCAAAACATTGAGGGGGTTGAGCGTTCACATGTTTCGCTTCACAGCAATTGCTTTGTTCCAGTTGCTGGTTCTTGTAGCACCTTCCTGTTCCACATGTCCAACTAGTGCCATCTAACATCATCTAACCCCTATCCTTGTTTGAAAGCCCAGTCAGTACCCCACAAAGACTAACAATGTGCACTACATCTTGGAAAATGTGACAACGGGCATTAAAGCTCTATATATATATCGACCTGAATCAGTTGACAGTCTTTCAATGTTTTTCAACGGTGTGCAGAGTGTCTGAAAAGCTTGGTGCTAAAGCTTTCAGGCGCATCTCTTGCAGTCCTCCACTTCGTGGATATCACGCCAGGAGAGGTATTTGTCTCAGTATTCAGAAAACCGTCATTGCGTATGCAAAGCTGAGAACCTTATGGCGTAAGCAAACATCTGAGGCATTCCTCAGGCACCGGCATGGAGGGTACAACCGTGCCTGCTGCATAGATCTGAAAGACTGTAGCAACCGTGAATCATTGCAGTATACTATGAAATTCCGATGGTTTGCTTTCCAGGTTCTGGATTCCTCACAGAGTCCGTTAAGGTACAAAAGTGGCATCGACATTCCATTACACAACGTTGTTTGAGTTGGTCTGGTTTGCTCAGAAAAGGAACGAGAAATTAGCCGGAAAGTTTCTGGCATCGGTACATGAGAAAATTCAATATATGCAGACGCCCTATTTCATTCAGTGCTGCGCCACAGTAATCATTAATCCCAATCGCGTGGTCTCCAGTAGAAAAGGGGTTGATCCAAGTTGATGCGCAAAAATGCGCACTAGCCACCAGTTTCATTTGGGTCTACAAACAAGGTCATCCAGATTGGAAAGAACCAGTCTCCTTTAAATAGAGGCAATGTAAAAACATGTCAGCAACGCAACGCCAAGACAAATGGCCACTCCACCTGCGTCGCCATTCGCGCTTGAGCTCAAAACCACGGGTTCTAAAGACTTGTATATAGATGCAGCTTGACAGAATCACGCTTTTCCCGTTTGATTCCCTGGAACAAACGTGTACATGCACGCGATGGTTTGGTCAAAGCCATCTCAACTGCTTTAAGGCGATGTCTGGGCAATATGCAGAAGCCAAATGGTAGCCCTAGATGATGAGACAATCCCAAAGGCCAAAAACATACAGTATCTCAAGCCTAGCAGTGAGGCCAGTGCGAAGGAGAACATCCTGTCCCATCTTCGAGACTGAAATGCTTCTCCCAAAACTCGTAATTGATCGACATTCATCAAGACAAAAGGCAAGGACAATCGCATTGCCGCATTGTATTATCAAAAAGCTCTGACATGGAAATGTCTTCAGAGTGCCCGGCAGCGCTTTGATCAATGCCACCACTTCAGGCCTGAGGTCCGACTGCTTTCAGCTGCTTCAATGATCTTCATATAATATAGAATTACACCATGGCCTGGAAGTGACAAAGGACTTGGCTTTCCGGAAGAACCCCTCCTGAGCTGATAATTCACAGACAGATTGGTATGAGCAAGAGACAATCACAATATCAACCAGAAACTTTTGCAAATGCAGTCAAGTGCATGTCTAGTCTCCACAGCAGTCGCATTTCCCGTCTGATTCCCATCCCTTGTTCGATTGAAAATGAGGGCAGAATGGGCCATCATAGCATAGCTGGACCTCTTGTCCTTTGGTCCAGGATCTTTGAGCACTAACCTGAAGGTGACAGAGCTCACGCCAAGTCATTTGTTGAAGACAAGTTTCCCAGAATACACTGCCGCAATGTTGTCTGCACTTGCTCACCCTACGCCGCTACGCTACACTGCTGGCTTCAATGAATGACTCATTGGTATTCCGGTCAAGTTTGCATTTCCAACAAACAACAGTCTTCTCTACTGGAACAGAATGCATTCTTATCCATGAGCCTGTCAAGGAGGTCTGCATCGACAGATGAACCAGGCCTTGGTTCGCAGCGGCAAATCTCTCGTGTAAACGACTGAAAGCGCTCCTGAAGCCTGAAACAAGAGTTAACAATCCAAGGTGTTCATAGCTCTTCCGCCTTCTCTTTCAAAGTAGCAGGATCTTCGAGGTGCCAAAGGGTGGAGAGGGGCTGGTAAAGTTAAAGAACAATAGCATGTCTATCTTTCCAAGTCATCAGGGCGCGATGAGATGAAGAGACGATGTCAGACTGACATTTACTTGAACCTTTCTGCAAGTATCATTTTGTGCATTGTCTTGCTTGGCCAAGCAACTTGCCAGGGTCTGCCACCGCATGGTATGTCTGCATTGAACAAGATTCCTTAGGCAGCTGTCAAAATTATGTGTCTTTTTCCTGTTGGTTGCTGCGTTTCCTACGCTCAACCCGAGAGATTCCACACAAGATGTGTGCCGCATTGGACCTACTGTTGTGCATGCCACTTGGGCGAATAAGGTCAGGGGGCAATGGGCACCAATGAACTCTTGCTGCCTAGGAGCAAGAAACTACTAGGAACAAAGGGCATCGCTACTTACGACTAGGAGCAAGAAGCTACTGTAAATCAAGTGCAACTTGCAGAGTTCTAAGTGAAAACCGCTGCCTATGCTGCATGCATTTCCATGAAGAACTCCTTCTACAGGTCTACTATGCCTACGTGTTTCAACTATATATATAATTTACAAATAATTGTGTGGTTTAAATCGAAGGGGAGACACCACCCACCACCCAAATCATGTTGCTTGGTTGGGTATATCTCAAATATGTAAAAAAACAGTTTTCTTCCAACATGTAAGACATGTTTGATTTTCTCTGCGTCTAAAAGACATTGTTTTCTGATGTATTCTGTACTTTTACATGGTTCTGGTTCAGCTTTTGAGGGTATCTTTGTTGATCTTTACAGTAGATGTATTTTCTGTCTTCTGAGTGTTCCAAAGTTTTATGCCCCTTTTTTTACCGTGGGACCGCTGTAGGCCTTCTTGAAAACAAATAATACATCCCAAAAGAGGCTATCACTTGTGACACTGTGGTTATGTGTGGAGGTAATGTGATGTGTACTGTTTTAGGGAAGTTAAACGTAATCTGCTGTCATGTGTGGTGTGTGGTGATGAAACTGAATGTGGTGAGTGAAATGTGATGGCAATGCGGCGAAATTATGACTCTGCATTCTGCACGCCTTATATACATGCAATACTTTCTGTAGAAACCTACACTAGAGTCTAGAACCTTCTTTTCATACCTCCGAAGATCTCACCACATCATGACATTACACTTCGCCACACTGTCAAAACAAAACACCAACCCACAATTCACCATATTCTTACAACGATAAAACACAGCGTCACAAATTATTTCGGTGCAAGTCACCATGCCAACCACATCACCGACACTACGTTTGATCACATGTCAAACGAACAGTCCTGACATTTCCTGAGTTTCATTTGAGCCCCTATGTTTCTATATTTTTGTCCATTTCCGATACCTCTCTGAAACGACCTCTAGGTTTCGACACTTTCCCGTGGGAGTGGAATCTATATTTTAGTCCTCCTACTTTTCTGAACTTCTCTTTAGAAATCTCCACCCCTCCGCGGCCCCGCCAATGCGACTAAAGTCACCGGCACACACCTGTCAGACCTGACGCAACCACTACGTCTTTTGCAACCACTGCAGTCATCAGCTGGTGCCGTGCCCCTCCACTCACCAATTTCCTACAAGCATCACTCTGGTCAAGCGGCGAGGTGGCTGCTTGATGAGTTCGCTTAGTGGTTCAATGGTGACTGTGCGAACTGTTCGCAGCAAGGATTTCTATGGTAAATTTGGGATAGCTGGATGTGTTTTGCCGCTTCCTTGGTTGAGTGTTTTTGATAATGAAAGTGATCAGAACCAAGTATTTTGTGTATTTTCCCCACTGCGTCGCCCTCTCAGTCAGTACGATGCAGTCTCAGCCTGGACTCTGACATCCTCGAGGAGCTTAGGGAAAAAAACGACAAGAAAAGCAAATAACACATCGGAGAATTCTCCCGTGCTGCCAGGCCAATGCAACACATGAACGTCACAAGCAAGCTCAGGGAGGCACTTGCCCGGAAATCGTAAAAATTGATGTGGCAAGCAAGTCTTCAGTTCAAGATGCAACAAAATTAGGCGGACATCATACAAGAAGCCCTAGATCACGAAAATCTATTGCAAGCAGGGACAAATCCCCTGCACTGCGTCCTCTAATAATCAGGCCACAACTACAACTTTTTAGGCAGAGAGCTGGTCACGCCTGATGCAAAATTGTTCAAGCCAGTCAACGCACAACCTTTACATCACTAACAAGAATATTTGAGACGATAGGGTACCCCTTCGGGGTCGAAGAGGAGGCCCAATTGCTACAAGCAACAATAGAGCTTCCTTCAAACTCAGGATACGTATGGATATGCATGGTTTGGGTGGATGAAAAGTAAAACACTCTGCGCATCAATCCCCAAAAAGTATTAATTCGCTGCTGGCGAGGAATCCAAGAACACCAAGGCATAAGCGGAAAACTATCCACACGGCGGTAGCAAAACCCTGCAAATTGTCTAGGATTTGTGGCGCCAAAGCAAGCTGGCTCCCATTTCAGATGCATTTCAGACCAGCAAAATTGCTAGGGTCAGCTTCCTCAAGTACCATCGTCCCATGCATCTTAGAACCGTCTCAAAAATGTTTCCAGCACCAATGTTACAGTAACAGTTTGACTCAAGCCAGAAAGGAACTCCACGCTACAAAAGTCCGGAGGTCATCCCGGTAAGTTACATCAAGCGCCAGGAAATTGACGTTGCGAAAGAGACGCAATTGTCAAGGATGCTCAGCGCCAGACCTTGGGAGAACTCCGGAAACCACTTCCAGAACGTAGGAAAGCAGAATTCAAGGCATTTTCTTAGGCGACCATCAATAGCAATGTAATTAGGTCGCGCAAATTGCGCAAAAACGCTACCAATATTTCAAGTGAACAATACTTCCACACAGGGTCGCCGCGCCTACCAGGCACGCCATTGAATGGGAGGCCCCGCCCCGGCCCACTGACACCAGTCGCGCCCAATATCGGGCCAGAGCATTCCGCATGTCCAAGCCATCAGGACATGGGAGGTGTCTAAATCCTTCATGTCCGCTGCAGCAACAGCACCGGAGTCAAAATCAATCAAAATCATACCCTGTCGGTTGAACTCATGGGTCAAGTCATGTCCAACATTTCATGTACAGACATGAAATCACTAAAAACATATTTTGGAAAAGCATCCAGCAGCACATCCAAAGCCTTGGACGCCAACGAATGTAAGGCGCAGTCATTGCAGCAATGTCGCCGAACGTACTGGTAAAAAGGTTGGACCCATCACCATCCAGAATACGGCATGTGTTCTCGGAAACGTCACGCAAAGCAAACAGATTCCCCTACATAAAACCAAAACACACCGACAGACTTGTAAAGGTACAGGGAAGACCAGACACACGCAAGGCTCAGTCCATAGCCGATCCCACCTAACGTTGGGTCACGGCCAATGTGCTGGAGAAGCTTCAAATTCCGCCTGGTTGGGCGTGACTGGAGCCACATTAAAAACACACCACCGGCCACTGCGCCGTCGGAGCGCCAAAAGCAGCGAACTGTATCATCAGAATGACATCCAGAGATGCCCGCAAAGCATCAGCCAATAGCAGCTTTCAGAAGGTTTCCTCAGGATCTCAGAAGCACGCATCTCGCAAGTAGCTCCGACAAAGAGGCATCCGTCTCAACGTTGAGATCAGAGCAAAGTTTCTGCAAAGCCTTTGATTCTTGGGATCTAGCGCTGCCACGATTGGAGCAGAGATTGTACACACCATACATGGCAATGAACCCCCATAAAGCCTGAAGTGGAGGAAGGGTCATCAGACGGCTGGGCGTCTATCTTTTTTTGCAAAACGGACAGACTTCGCGCCCATCTCAAACTTCTCAAGAACCATTTGCGCTGTGTCAACATCAACTCGTTCCTTGACCCTGACCCAGGCGGCGTAGTCATCCTCGGACTTGCTGCAGCGGCAAGTTGCTGCAAACCTTTCAAGCCTGACACATGCTGTGGAGGCACAGCTTCGGTGGTTGGGAGAACAAGGTCATCCAAGAGTTCAAAGGAAACCCATTGTACATCTCTGGAGGAAGACGCGCTTCCCTTTGGCTTGTCAGGGGACTGGTCAACGTGGCACAGTACTGCCTTCCACTTGGTGGCATCTGTGGTGGACAGAGGAAGCCTGTGGAACAAGTCCTAAAAGCATCGTTCTGTGACCGGCTCATGGGTACAGATTTGAAACCTTCTTCCTCAACTATGTTCTGGCCTCAACTCATTCAAACGTCGACACCTGTTCATCCTTTCTTCCGTGTCTGTGAGAGAACGCACATCCACTATAATGCCTGGAGGCGGCTGGAAGGCAACAGCCTGGTGTTCTGCAGGCAAAGCAAAAAAGAACTGGTGGAATTCACTGACCCCCATGTTTTGAATGAACTTTCCAAGTTCATCCTTGGACCTGGCTGATCGGGATCTGTGGCTTCGTCTCCTGTGGCTGTTCATGTCAGGTGTCCATGTGCCCGGTGGGCTCTGTGGGCCAGCGATGTCACAGCATGCGGGCTGCGCTGCCTTGTCCACGATGGCATTGGGAGGAAACCGGGCAACATTGGGCGCAGGGACTTGCTGAGACGCATGGTAGAACAGCTCATTGGGCTGGTGGGCGTGCACAGCGGTATGTGGAACATTGGGCTGGTGGGCGTGCGCAGCGGTATGTGGGACGGGCTGTGCTTGGGGCTGGCACACGCTTGTGGGAGAAAACCAATATGTTGCAAACCGAAAAACACTTGAAAACAATTCCAAACGGGGAAACAGTTTACCTGAGAAAGTTGAGGGCTGCAATCGCCGAAAATTTTTGCACAAGTCAGCAAGGTCAGGCACTGCAAGCCATTGAAGACTACAAAGACGACGCTGAGAAGCATGAAGCAAAGCTAATTGAGGTATTGTTATCTCAGAAAACTGAGAAGTATTGAGTAGGCGCAACTTCCAAGCAGCCATAGGCCTACACCAGGATAATGCCGAAGCCAAGTTCCTCTCCTGGGGTCTTAAAGTAGTACTACGCACAGGCCAAAGAAACGTCGGCTGAGTGTATTGATCCGTGAAGTTGATCAAAGCTAAGTACTTTGTAAGTTTTCCCCACTGCATCGCCCTCTCAGTCAGTACGATGCAGTCTCAGCCTGGACTCTGACATCCTCGCGGAGCTTAGGGAAAAAAAACGACAAGTGTCAAAACAGAGGTAGTGTCCGAAGAACTACGTGTAGAGTGAGTGAACCA